ATTGGGAAGAGATGAGGTGGGAACACCAAACAAAAGGCTATTGGAGTACTGCAGCTATGAGGAGATGTGGGCCTGCCCAAGAGTGATTGCAGTGTGAGAGGAGGGAAGAGGTTGTTTATAAAACGATGAAGAGGTAGAATCAGCAGAATCTGGCAACTGATTGGATTTGGGTGGGGTGAGAAGTGGTAAGGAGTCAAGGATGATAACTACCTACATTCTGAAACTAGGTTACTGGGAGGATGAGGGTACTTTCACTGGTAATAGAAATGTTAGAAAGAGGAGAGGGTTTGGGGGAAAAGATAATTAATTTGGTTTGGATATGCAAGGTAACCATAAAAAACCACCACCAGAAGAAAATCAAAAGTGTAATATCAATAGATCTCTCAAATAATAAACTAATCTTGGAGCCCTTCCCAGTTCAAAAAGTATTGTATATTTAATAAACTGGAGAAGTTGGTTTTCTCAATCCATAGTCCCACCTAGATTGGGAGGGTCACAGTTAGCTTAACCTAGGTCAGTTTAGTTTCCCCTTCCACCAAACAGTACACAAAAGACAGTCACAGGTATCAAAGAAAACATTACAAAGGAAACAGTAACTATGGAAGATATACATACATGTATGCACATATGAAATATATGTTTAGGTGATACAAAATAAAGAAGCTTTGTGACTTACTCTGAACTGAGATGAAATCTAAGCTCAACCAAGGAGAGAACAATCTCACCCAGGAAGTCTGCGTTTTGGAATCTCTGGGAAAGGCAGGCATTGGAAATCAAGGGGCATGTTGGGTTACCAAATTTCCACACATTCATGTGACTGTTTGGCCTCCTGTTCATGCCAGCCTTTTCATACTAAGTGCATAGAATGACAACATTCTTCTTCAGGCGACTTTCAAAAATATCTGGGGTGGGAATGGGGCTTCATTCCTTTTACACAAGTGTCTACTAAGCATAGTAACAAATGTGCTAAGCCCATAATAGTCATCTCTCTCTATATTCAATCCTTTATTCTTCAAAGACTAGAAATTTTAAAGTTGCTGAATATACAATTTATTAATAATGAAATCAGTAATTGAAAATTGCATAATTAGTTACAATATTTTAGCTTGTGAACAACTAATCACAGCCAGAGCCACTTCAAATCCTCAGTATAACTGCAGGTGACTTTTTTTTTTCATTTCTGGGAACAAATAAAGTACTCTGTGCAATAATCCTCTTTTTTGAAATGTGAAGGTTCAATAGTTTCATAAAGTAGAATGATATCTTCAACTTCTTTCTTTCTTCTCCGATTTATCTTGCAACATGACAGGAAAACAGTCTTTAGATTATCTAAAGCTATCACTATTAATAGTATCTCTTCAGACTCACTCATAAAATTGTTTCTTTATAAAATAACAGCTGACAGATCTAAGATGAAATAAGTTTCTCTTCATTTTCTTTCTCTCAGTTTTCTCCACAAACCTCTCGCATATCCTATAGTTCAAAGTTAAGAAAATATATACTCTTCTTGACTCTGTGAGGAGAAACATCTCACAGAATGATAGTTAGAAATGGAATTCTAACTTCTCTCTTAAGGAGACAGTAACATGTTTTTGTTTTTTAAACAAGGGTTACATATATTATTTATTCTGTCTTTACTTATCTAGGAACAGTAGAATATAAGTTCTTTGAGGGCATATGCTGTCACTTTGTTGGGAAACCATGTGGTACAAGGGAAAGAGCAATACCTCTGAAACGAAAAAATTTTTGTGTTCAAGTACCACCTCTGAAGCTTAGTACATGTGTACTCTTGGGCAATCCACTTAACTTCTCTGGGCCTCAGCTTCCTCATCCGTAAAATGAGGAGGTTGGACTAGATGATCTCTGAGGTCCTTTCCAGATCTAAATCTGTGATCTTATATCATCCTTGGCTCTCAGCACAATGTTTGTTGATTGTTTGAAAAAGCATCAATAAAACATTTTTTAAAAAGAAGTCACTTTATCTCTCTGGGCCTCCGTTTCCTCATCTGTAAAATTAAAGCATTGGAATAGAGGGCCTGAAATACCTTTCTGCCTCTGTATTTGTTGTTACAGCTGATGGGAAGAGGGAAATCTAGAGGATATTCAGAGATGTTTATTACTTTGAGGACCCATCTCCCACACTTTCAGCTACTCAATCAGCACCATGGCCGCGTTTCCAATGCCATTGATATGGGAAGTAGTGGAGAATTGAGTGAAAGGAGACATTATCTAGCAGAGTGTTATGAAACTGAAGTAATAGCAAGCTTCCTCTATGCCTTTTCCTACAGCACGTGTAATTTCAACCCAACTGTTAAAACTAGTGTTTGGGCATCCTATAGAACCTGACAGCAACAATGCACTACCCTAGAAGACTCAAGTTGAGTCTACTCTTGGCTTGGTCTGGTCTTAATATTAATGACGTCACAATGATGAGAAGGTACCGATATTCTTGAGATTCATTTTTTAGGTCAGTCAGAAAGGTTCAGACTAACACAATATTTTCAAGCATCGAAGTGATATAATAGATCGTTTTGGATTTGGAGTTAGGAAGACCTGAATTCAAAATTCTGCTTCAGACCCTCACTAGCTTTGGGATTCTGAGCAAGTCATTTAACTTCTCTCAGCCTCAATTTTCTTATCTGTAAATTGGGAATGATAATAGCATCTATATAAAATACTTTTCAAACCTTAAAACCCTTTTTAAACATTAACCATTATTTCAATTTCCTCTCTTCTAAATGGCTTGATTCTCCTGATAAGGTTCTAGAAACTCATGGCCTTTCCTCTTCCAGTGTGGGGTCCACTTTTGTTGGGGTCCACTAAATTTCTGTCACAGCTAAGTGAAAAACTTGTCAGGAAATAAAATTTCTTATGAATGAAGTTTTGTTTATTTCTTTGTTTTACCCTCCCTCCTTCAGTTCTTTCGCCATCAGAATCATCTTGGAACCTCACTCCTTTGGCACCCCCTTCTCTATTATGGACAAAATAGATGGCTACTTCACTGTTCACAAAGTTGATAATTGGAAGGTAAGGAGTAATGGCAAAAGATGGAGGAACCATTTACCATGAATCATGCGAAAAAACTGCTAAGATAGAAAGTATATTTCCTTTCCCTTTAAAAATAAGAGAATAATTGTGCTCTTCTGCCCCTACTCCTACCCCCACCCCAGCAATAGTTTTCAGGACCGTAGGTTTTTTTTTCTTCATTAGGAAGAAAAGAGAGAATGTGTGAATGCAAATAAAGAGTATTTCGAAATTATGAAAAAACAAGTATAGTTAAAGAGTTAAGTCTTCACCACCCTGCCCTTTGAAAAGAAAGGAAATTGCAGACACCGTGAACTAAATGACAGATTGTACGAAATAATGAAAGGCTTATTTGAGAAAAGGAGGAACCTAAGTTCCCACACAAAGGGACAGAGTTCCCAGACTCTTCAGCTGCCTGGCAAATGTGGCATGTACTGCCTTGAGCTGATGGGAAGGGAGCGGCGGTCAGGGGTGGAATATACTCTGTACAGCCAATTAATGTGCCAGGAAACCCCTTGTAAAAATCCCAAACAAGGGATTTGACTGAGCGTGTGGCTTGGGGGGAAGGAGAAGGAAGGGGAAGTGGGGAATGGAGAAAGTAAAAAGGAGAGGAGGGAGAAAGGAATTTTGCGTGTTAAATAGAAAAAAAATTCCAATCCTTTGTGCGGATTTTACAATTCCACTCAAGCAGGAGATCAAAAGGGTTACTGGGCGCAGAGAGAAAAAGTTCTGCAGCAGCAATTGCCTACAAAAGGGTGGAGGGAGGGAAAGAGGGAAGAAGAAGGAAGGAGGGAGAGCTCAACTTAAAAACATACTAATAACTATATCAAGCATTCACCAAAACATCCTTGCAGGAGATGAGGTAAGCAAAGACCAAGCAATCCCGATTGGTTGCGAAATACAAAATAATCCTGGGAACACTATGATTGAAAGGAAATTGAGTTTTTCTTACCAAAATATTTTCACTTGCTCCCTCCCTTCTCTATCTCTCCACCCCTCGTCTTTCCTCTTTCTTTCCTCTCCTTTTCTCTCCCCTAGCTCTTTCTCCAATCGTCACTCTTCACCCCACCCATCCTGTTCTCTTTTTCCCCTCCTCTCTATCTGATTAAATGAGATGGGAGTATGGGAGGGGTGGTTTTGAAGCTCTCCCTTTAAGAGGCAGACTGCAGTGACGAATTCTTGAAATTGCCCTTGCAGGATGGCATTCCACTATAAATTCATTGTTCGACCTCCTCTCATCTTCACATTTCTCTCTTCTCTCCTTGCCTGTATCGACCAACTGGGGATAACAACAAAAATGAAAATACAGAACCACGGGGGATAAAGTGAGGACATCTTGCCATCTCACCAAAAGCGATCTGGGTTTTCCTCAGTCACCTCAGGTTCTCAAGAGACCAAATGGAACCAACAAATTAAAAAGAAAGAACTGCTGGAGCTTAGTTTTGAAAGTAATCATTCTTAGCATCGATGATCCAGATCGGAAAAGAGATAGGGGAAGAGAGGAAATGCTGAAAAGTTGCCTTCTTTAGACTCCGAATCTTACAGTTGTGCAGCTGTTTGCTGTGTATGGCTTTGGGATTTTATGCTTTCTCTACCTTTCTCCTTATGCTGATTCTCCTCTTCCAGTTTTTTCCTAGTCAAAATCCAAATGTTAATTTTTTTTTTTTTTTTTAGAAAGAAACCAGCAAAGAAAAGTTATACACTAGGACCTCAGCTTGACAATCCATAAGCTTTTGTCGGTAGCATTTTCTGCTTCCCTCTTTCTTACACTTCATTTAACAGTACAGGCAACATAGACGCACACATACATACATATGTATATTAAATATACATGTGTGTGTGTAGAAAGATTATATATATAAAGATATGTGGGTAGATATGTTTATTTTAATCCATGGTAATTTGCGTTACTGCTTATTCTAGAAAAAAAAAAAAAGACCCTCTCTTTCCAATTTTTTTTTCTCCCTTCTTCATCTATTCCAACGCTCTGAGAGGGCAATATGGTCTTGATGTTGGTTTCTCTGCTCATTTTGGCTTTCGAATCGCACTTTGCTTCTGTTGGAGTCCGGGCTCCGCCAACACCTAAACATAGTCAAACTCATCAACTTCCACCAATTGCACTAGAGACAGCAGAAGCTCACCTCCACTACCAGCAGCAGAAGGAATTGCTGCAGGAGCAGGAGCAGCAAAAGTACTCTCAGCAGCCCCCCTACACTCCCCCTATCAACCGCAAGACTAGAGGTCTAGTGCAAAACATTGACCAACTTTACTCTGGAGGAGGCAAAGTGGGATATCTCTTATATGCGGCGGGCAAGAAATTTCTTTTGGATTTGGAACAAGATGGATCAGCGGACTTCCCAGAGCTTCTGTATCCTGTTTTTGACCAGAGCAGTCATCAGGGGACATTGCCTCCATCTCAGCGCCGCCGGGATCACTGCTTCTACCGAGGCACCGTGGATGGGAGCACTAGCTCCCTGGCCCTCTTTAACCTCTGTGGGGGGATGAAGGGCTTCTTCGCTATTAAACATACTCGTTACACCATAAAGCCGTTGTGGCTGGGGACAAGGGAGGCTGAAGAGGGGCGGCTGTTTGCAGACCGGTCTCTCCGGGTGCTGCACGTTTTCATTAAAGAGAGCTTCAGTTTCAAAACGCTGAAGCTTCGCAGCAGCTGCGAGACCACTAGCTCTCCCAGGACAAACCACAGACAAGGAGAAGCACTCCCTACTCAGGCTCACCAAACGTCCCAGATCATGCCATCTCCGCAGCCCTTTGCAGCACCGGCTCCCGAACCACTGACGGGGTGGCGACGTCAGCGGCGCTCCATCTCCAGGGCCAGGCAGGTGGAGCTGTTGCTCGTGGCGGATGTGTCCATGGCCAAGAAGTATGGCCGGGACTTACAGCATTACCTGTTGACTTTGGCTTCCATCGCTTCGCGGCTTTACAGTCACCCAAGCATCGAGAACCACATCCGTCTAGCGGTGGTGAAGGTAGTGGTGCTGGATGACAAGGAGAAAGGGCTGGAGATAAACAAGAACGCAGCCACTACTCTCAAGAACTTCTGCAAGTGGCAACACCAACACAACCAGTTGGGAGATGATCATGAGGAGCATTATGATGCAGCTATCCTGTTTACTCGGGAGGTAAGTTTAAGGTCAAACCAGGTCACCATCAAAAAGATGATTGCCCTCTGAGCATCTGTATAGTAGCCTATCTGTGGTGTAATTTGCACAGTATGCATTTTGGAAAATCTGGGGAGCTAATCTGGGTAGCTCTGTTAATCCTCCCTATACAGAGAATTAAAAGAGAAGCTGCGGTAGCTTACTACTCCCCCCCCACCAAAAAAAAAAAAAAACAACAACTGTTTTGAGACTTCATGGAATTTGATCTTATTTCATTGAAGTATCAGATTTACAGCTGGAAGCGACAAATAAATACTGACCTTGGATTAAGTACTAAACCTGGAAAATTCTCTGATTTTAAATAGCTGAGAAGGTGGGACCTACATCGGTAGAGTTAATTTCCACTTGCAGTAGTTTCCTATACCAATGAGATCACTCATCTAGTTAGTCCAGTGCAATCATTAATTTGTAACCTCTCTGTCCCTACAACCTTCTCAACAACTTCCTGTCCTGGTGTCATCTGAGGAAATCTAGGGTATCCTAGCATTTAGGGATAGCTAGAGCTAGTAGCTAACAGAACTAATAGCTAGATGTATTAGAAGCTGCATGATATTTGTATAGATGTAGCTAATAGAGCTAATACTGTATCTATTAGAGGCTGTGTGATATGTGTATACAGGCATTTAGTTTGAAAGGAAAGAAAAAAAGTTTTTAATTTTAAAATTTTTCTACCTCTCAATAAGCCTAGGGCAACTACTTGCCCATGTGATTGCATTAACTTGATAATTTATATTTCTTAATCTCTTTCATTCCTCTCTACTCTTGCTTATCATCTGTCTGTCAACTAACAATTTATTAAGCACTTATTTATGTGTCAAGAAAGGAAGGCCTGACCTCAAGAAGCTCGCATTTTAATGAAGGAGAGAATATGAAAATTACAAGGTGCTTACAGATATATGCACAGTAGATAAATATAAGGACTTTCAATAGACAGAAAGGCACTAGTAGCCAAGAGGAGAAGGGACTCAGAAAAGACTCCTGAGGAAGATGGGATTTAAGCAGAAAGAAGCCAGGAAATCTAATAGGCAGAGAGTTGAGGATGGAGAGCATTCCTGGCATGGGGGACGCCCATTGCAAAGGTATTGTCTTTTGGAGAGGCAGTAGTTTATAATGTTATAGAAATCTGGTCTCAGAGTTTTAAAGACCTGGATCAAGACCTGACTGGACAAATATTTGGCTATGACCTTGGGAAAGTTATTTAATCTTTCTGTACCCCAGGCAGTTCCCTATACATTGCATGAGTTACTGCTCCAAATTGGTAAGAGTATCCTCACCCTGAGTTCCCTATACTGAGGAAACATCACAGGTCTGGACCAAAAATAAAGTAAAATAAACAAAACTGTGTCCTTCTCAGCTGTCCCTTTTATACCTAGTGGTGAAGGAATTTCAGGCCGCATGATGTCCAATGCTGGGAATCCAGAGACCTAGATTCTAATCCAGGTCCTGACCCTAACCAGCAGGGTAACCTAAGCATGGCACCTAAAATCCTTGGACCTTGTTTTTCTTATGTGTGGAATGATGGAGTTGGCCTAGAGGGACTAAATTTCTTCTCAAATATTACCTTATATGATTCTATAGTGGCATATCTCCACTCCTACCTTGTAAATGCTCTTAAATATGTTGGAGAATCCAACATATGGTATAATTTGTGAAGCTGTTGTCTCAGCTAAATATTCCCTGATAACAAGCCCTTCTCTTGGCAGCAAATATTCAATTAATGTTTGTTTAATAAAAAGGACAAATAAATATGGGAGAATTGAGATGATTAAAGAGTCATTTAATAGACATTAAAAACCCCAGTCAGTGAAGGAAATAAGTATTCTGGGTATTCTAGTGTCTTTTTAAAAAACAATTTAGTCAATACGTCATATATCTATATAATTCATGTTTGACCTCCCTTTAAGGAATATAGCTTATTTATATGGTTTTTGGTGTAGTAAGAGAGTACTTTAGAGGTTCCAATGCTGAATAGTCTGTGCACAGATCCTGTAGCATTTCAGAGTATCTCCTATATTGGAGAATTATTTAACCAGAAGAGTGTAATGGAATGGCTGTGGATTGACAGGAGATCTAATCTAGTGTCCATGTGGTGGTAAATAGAATGTTGGACTTGGAGTTAGAAAGACCTGTGTTCAAATCCTGCTTCATACACTTCCTAGTTCCGTGACTGAGCAAGGCACTTTCTAGAAATGTTTTCTCATTTCCAAGATGATGAAGATGGTCTTAATGACCACTGCATTCTAATCCTGGTTTGCTCACTAGCTGTTTTACTTTGAGTAGGCCACTTTATGTCTCTGGGCCTACATTTCCTTATCTGTAAAGAAGAGGTTTGGACTCTTTAATATCATGTTGTTCTTATAGTCCTTTGATTCTGTAGTAAGAAAATGGGGTAATGGCTTCATTGGGCTTAAGGGAAAACAGCATATGAACAATATCAGAGCTCTTCATTGGAAGAAAAGCAATATAGAACTTCCTAGTGTCAATTCACTATTTGCCTGAGATTCAGGTTTTACATATATAAATTGGTGATGTTATTAATACTTGACCTCAGGTGAGTAGTGACAATTGACTTATAAGCTCATTCTTTGAATGTCTGAGGAAAATACAGGTATAGTTTTTGTTATTGTTTTTAGCCAAACTAAAAATAACATGCAAGGCACAGAAGAGAGAAAATGGAGTCATTTAGGAAACTGAATGAAGTGTTTCAGGACACTCAGAATCAGCTAACTACTCCTCCCACATTCTCTCTCCTGCTCACTCACAGGGCACTTCTGGTTTGAAGGGGAAGGGCTGATAAATTTGAAGAGAGGGATCATTGGTTGTTCAAGGGCTAGGCATAAATGCAAACCAAATGTAACCAAAGAGACAGGTGTTAAAGTCAGCAGTTTTAGAAGAGAATGGACAACTTATTTCTTTGTATACAGTGAAAAATCTTTCCCTTAATGAAATGATCCTCTGAAATTCCTTCTTGAAGGACATCTGTTTGTACCACAGTAGTTCTGTGGTTATCCTTTTGAAATAAGATACTTTAAGTCTTTTTCTAATACGGGTTCCAAGTTGGGGACATTTTTCCTTCTCTGGTATTTTTTTTAAAGTAGCTCATAACTTCTCATGAATTCTTTCTTTGCTATATTATAGAAAGCTGCACAATAAAGATATCCAAGTCAGTTGTTCTATTGTTGCTAAACTACTTCAGGTAGCTGATTTTCATTCTGGGGTTTCTTTTTTATTCTCAAATTCAAATGCAACATTCTTATTTATATTTTTAAAAGAAAAACATGTAGGGTTTTGACATTTTTGTTTCCTTTTTTAAAATTATCATTTTGCTAACTGAATCTGAGTAAATGAATACAAACTTTTGACTCTTTTTTACTCTAAATGTTTTAGACTCTAAATGTTTGACTCTAGATGTTTTAATGAGTAGTTAACTCTACACTATTTTAATGAGTAATTAACATTTTATTTTCTGAAGCATTGGAATACAGCACATTTTTAAAAGATGAAGGCATAAAAATTATAACAGTTTTATAGTATTCTTTTTTCAATTTGACTTTAATAATTATTGAAACAATATACTGTATTTATCCACAAGTGAAAAATTCTATCAGCCCTTACTAAGCAAAAACATACTTTCAGGAGGAAATTGGTTTTCTGGCATTTATTTGCTATGTAATATGGCAAAAAAATTCAAAAACCACATGTGCTTATTTGAAAACCACATTCAAACTACCGATGAGTTCAGTTTGGTCTATGGTCTAATTTTAGTTAAGAATTGAGAAAAATACCTAAAGACTTACTAAGGCTTCATTGGTGGGGGTGGGGGAACGTGAAGTGTAAGAAGACTGGAAAGGTGGGGAGGGGAGCAGGTCATAAAGGACTTTAAATGTCAGAGGATTTTTTTATTTGATCCTGCAAATGATAGGAAGCCACTGGAGCTTATAGGGGTGACATAGCAAGATTTATGCTTTAGGAAAATCACTTTGTTACCTCAATGGAGGATGAATTGTTATGTGGAAAGACTTGTGACGGGCCTACTAACCAGCAAGCTGTTGCAGCAGTCCAACTGTGGGTTGCTGAAAGTCTATACTAGGATGGTGACAGTATCAGAGGAAAAAAGGAGGTACATTAGAGAGATGTTGCAAAGGTGAAATCAACAGGTCTTGGCCACAGATTAGATGGGGAGTGATCAGAGGAGTCAAGGATGACATCCAAGTTGAGAGCCTGGGGTACTGGGAGGATGGTGGTGTCCTCAACACCAATAGGGAAGTTTGGAAGTGGGGAGGGTTTAGGGGAAAAGATAATGAGTTCAATTTTGGAAGTAGTGAGTTTAAGGTGTTTACTCTACATCCAACTGGAGATGTACAATAGACAGTTGGAGCTGTAAGAGTGGAATTTTATAGAAAGGTTAATACTATATGAGTAGATATGAAAATCATCAGCATAGAGATGGTAATTGAATTTTTTGGGAACTAATGAAATCACTAGGAAGAGAAGACCTAGGGCAGAGCTCTGTGGGACATGCATTGGTTAGCAGGCATGACCTGAATGACGAATCAGCAAAGGCTATTGGGTCATATTGGTAGAAGAACCAAGAGAGAGTAATGTCCCAAAAATATAGAGAGAAGAGAGCATCAAGGAGAAGAGGATGACTGAGAATGTCAAAGACTGCAGAGAGGCCAAAGAGTATAAGGACTGAGAAAAGGCCATTGGATTTGGCAATTAAGAGATCATTGGATAGAGCAATTTCCATTAAATGACAAGGTTGGAAGTCAGATTTTAGAGATAAGAAGAAAGTGGGAGGAAAATAAGTGAAAGCACGTATTGTAGTTGGCCTTCTCAAGGAATTTAGACACAAAAGGAAGGAGAAATATGGGATGACAGCAGGGATGGAATGATCATATGAGGTTTTCTTGTTTGTTTTGAGGATGGGCAGACATGGACATATTTATAAGTAGTAAGGA